AGCCCATGACAAGCTCTCACGGTCAACGAAGGAATAGACCTCCTCCCGAGACGTTCCGATCAGACTCGGTATCCCGGTTCTTCAAGACACTTCGACAAGTTAAAACCAATCCAGCAACACCGCCCGAATGTGCCGACAAATCCCGATAGGAGCTGCACATATCTCGTTCTCAGGGCACACTCAGATGAGACATCCTACGAGTAAAACCAACCCTCAAGTTGCCCCGAGGTGGCCCCGCAGTCTACTCGGTCGGACCAACACTCAGAGGAGCACTGGCCCGGGGGGTTTAAATAAGATGACCCTCGGGCTCCGGAAACCCAAGGGAAAAAGAGGCTAGGCGGCAAATGGTAAAACCAAGGTTGGGCATTGCTGGAAAAGCTTTAATCAAGGCGAACTATCAAGGGGTTCCCATTATAACCCAACCGCGTAAGGAACGCAAAATCCGGGAACATAACACCGATATGACGGAAACTAGGGCGGCAAGAGTGGAACAAAACACTAGGCGAGAGGCCGAGCCTTCCACCCTTTACCAAGTATATAGATGCATTAAGATAACATGGCAATATAATGATATCCCAACAAGTAAATAATGTTCCAACAAGGAACGGTCTCCAATCTTCACCTGCAACTAGCAACGCTATAAGAGGGGCTGAGCAAAGCGGTAACATAGCCAATCAACGGTTTGCTAGGACATGGTGGGTTAGAGGTTTGACATGGCAATTTGGGAGGCATGATAAGCAAGTGACAGGCATCGTAGTATAGGCATAGCAAAAGAGCGAGCATCTAGCAAAGCAAAGATAGTAGTGATTTCGAGGGTATGATCATCTTGCCTGCAAAGTTGTTAGAGTTGACTGGATCCTCAAAAGCAAACTCAACGGGCTCCTCGTTAGCGAACTCGTCTCCCGGCTCTACCCAAACAAGACAAACAAGCAACAAGGACACAATCAACCACGTGCAAAGCTCAAACAATATGATGCAAACATGGTATGCTATGCGGGATGTGATATGGGATGCATATGCAAGATTTGACAATGAATGAATGAACCTGGCCTCAACATGGAAATCCAAGTGTGCCACTGGAAAGGTGAGATGAAATCGCTTAAAAATGATATAAAGATCACCGGAATCGGAGTTACGGTTTGGAAATGGCAAGTGATTCAAATATGACACCGGTCTGCGATTTACAGCAAGTAGCCAACTAAATGCAACAATAAGAATATGCTACAGCACCCAAACATGGCAACAAAATACATGGCAGGGATCCCTACAAGATGCTTAACAAAAGATGAACACTGAGCTATGGTCAATTCATCCATTAACAGGTTCAAACAAGTATGGCAAAAATGCATTTGGCAAACAGATCTCAGACTTAGTGAAATTAACACTTGCCTGAATTTCAGATCAGATAGCACACTTTGGAGCAACAAAACTACATGCTACAGGACCTGAACATGGCAAAGTAATGCATGGCATGGAGCTACTCAAAGAGCTTAACAAAAGTCCCTTAGTGACCTTGAGCCAAAAGGGATCAAAAAATATATTTGCAAGCATGTGAACATGGCAAAAACATAATCAGTTCTCAGACTTAGTGAAAACTGGAGCATGATGAAAACAGATATCAAGTAGGCATGTTTACGAGCTCGATGCACTCACTACAGAGCAAGTCATGGCAATCTAAGCATACACCCATCAAGAATACACAAAGTGCAAGCTAGACATGGCAAGAATAATAACATAGCATGCACGGATCAACTACAACATCCTCGGCAAAATCGCTAACAAGTAGACAATCTGCCCAGATTCACGAAATAGCAAAAGTAGAGCTCGATTGACTCAAGCTAGGGTGCTCCATAATTGCAAACAAAGACATGGATGGATAGAGCACTACAAGATTAACAAAACATCCTCACTGAGCATCCTCAAAAGAGGCACGGATCACTAGGAATCAACATGAACATATGGCATAATGAGATAAACAGTCCAAGGACTTAGTGGAAATGCTAAGTCTCTGAAATCAGCATTAACGAATGCACCACTTTGCAAGCTTGTGCTAGTCACCACACACATCAAAAAAAATACATGGGTTGCACCTCTGGATAGATGGCAAAACATATAACAAAACACATGTAGAGCTCAGGGGCATATCATGCACACAATAATCATGGCAAAAATGACAAATATTTAATTGGAGCAGCAGATCTGACAATTATCTCAAATAGCATTCTTCTAACAGCATTTCGGGCATCAAGATGAACTCAAATGAAAATGATGCAATGGAATGAAATGATGTACTCTCTAAGATGAACATTTTGATATGCTATATGCCCAAAACGGACTGTCGGGTGCAAAGTTATGATGCGATGAAAAATGCTAAAAATTACTGGGACTTAGGGCAAAATTAGGTCAACCTCTCAGATCCGAATCTAGATCTGGCACGTTCTTCGAGGTTCGTTGGAGGGGGCTCGCCGGAGACGCGCCGGAGTCGAGGGAGAGGGGCGGTGCCACCGGATCCGTTGCCGGGGTCCCTGCCGGCGACGAGGGCGGCGCGGCGGACGACGGAAGGAGGCGGAGGACGACGTGGTGGCCCGGGCGGCAGAGGTGGCGATCGTTGGCGATGGCGGCCGGCGGCGAGGTGAGAGCGCGGCGGCGCGGCGAGGAGGGAATGGGCGCAGGCGCTGTCGGGCGGCGCCGGGCGGAGCGGGCCACGGGGGCCGGAGTAGGGCCCGGCGGGCCTCGGCGATGTGGGGCGGCGGGGCGCCACGTGGCGGGTGGTGACTGGTGCAGAGCGGCGGCGGAGATTCGTCCGGCGCGGACCGGACGTGTCCGGACCGCGGAGGGGAAGGGGGGCTAGGTTTAGGGTGAAAATGATCCGAGAATTTCGGGAGTGAGATCTTTAAATAGGGATAGGAGGAGCTAGGAGAGTCCAAATGAGGTGCGGTTTTCGGCCACGCGATCCTGACCGAACGCTCTAGATGATGGAGAGGGTTTTGGGCTAAAATGGAGGGGTCTTGGGCTGCAACACACACGAGGCCTTTTCGGTCCCTCGGTTAACCGTTGGAGTATCAAACGAAGTTCAAATGGTACGAAACTTGACAGGCGGTCTACCGGTAGTAAACCAAGGCCGCTTGGCAAGTCTCGGTCCAATCCGGAATTGTTTAATCCCCACACACGAAAGAAAGGTAGAAATGACCACCGGAGAAGAACGGAGCGCCGGAAGCAAAACGGACAACGGGGAAAATGCTTGAATGCATGAGACGAACACGTATGCAAATGCAATGCACATGATGACATGATATGAGATGCATGACAACGATAACAACACACGGGGACAAAAACCCGAACCCGAGAAAATAAAATAACTTAACGCCGGAAACGGCAAGAGTTGGATTACATATTGGGAAAATCATATCCGGGGTGTTACACCGACGACGGGGGAGGGAAGTCCCAGAGCACGACGATCATCTTGGAGTGCAAGGCACAAATGGCGACGGCTTGAGGTCAGTTAGATCCCTGTGTAAACCCTAGCTAGCCCCCATCGTCTATATAAGGAGGGGGTAGGGATCGACCAGGTCCATCTATTCTCGTAGAAACACACTCACGGTAGTCATGCATCATCCCCCATTGTAATCCCTTGCATGAGAAACTCCACCATGAATACATATCAGAAGAAGAATGTAGGGTATTACCCAGAGGGCCGAAACCTGGGTAACCCCCTCGTGTGAACCCCGTTATGTTACTTCCGGCCGAATTCACCACCCTACCGGGGGAGTTCACGATTTACGTATCCTCTGTTGGCGCGCCAGGCATGGGCTATACTTCGTCTTCGACCTCGAGCAGACCTTCACCCACCTGCACCTTTTCAGCATGAAGTTGAATCCGGAAAAAAATTGTCTTCGGGGTGCCCTCCGAATAGTTCCTCGGCTTCATCGCATCTCCGCGAGGCATCAAAGCAAACCCAGAGAAGATGCATGCCATCATCAACCTCAAATCACCAGAAACAATTCAAGAAGTACAAAAGATCGCGGGTTGCATCGCAGCTCTGAGCCGGTTCTCATTACGGCTCGGGGAGAAAACCCTACAACTCTACTGGCTTCTGCGCAAGAACAATAAGTTCTATCGGAGCGATGAAGCAAAGGCCGCATTTGCATACCTCAAGTGCCTTCCACATTCCAACCCGGTGTTGGCTTCCCTGGCACAATCAGAGCCACTGTTACTATATGTATCCGCCACCACACAAATCACCAGCATGATCACGGCGGTGAGAGGGAAGAGCAAGGAAAGGCATAACGGGTCCAACACCCGGTGTACTACATCAGCGAGGTTCTGACACCATGCAAAACCTGCTACCTGCACTACCAAAAGACCACATATCACGTTTTCATGGCGGCTAACATCATGGAAAGACACATATATTGGTGAAATTATGTTTCTTGATGAAAAGACATTGGACAATGATGAAAAGAACCACACTAATTGTTAGATTAACACATTACCAGTTTGTAAGTTCCTTTATTTGCGGGGACAGTTTGTAACTTCCAAAAGATGCGAACATTGAACTCACTAAGAAAACTAATGCAACAAAATTTAGCATTACAAGTTGTTTATGCACTTCAATAATATTTAAAGTTTGCAGCTGTGTGCCTAAAATATGGCGAAGTATCCAGTGAAAATGACTTTTTAGTGAAAATCTGAAAATTTCTATCGTGATCTGTTGGACCGGACGACAAGGATCAAAGATGGGACTGCTCACAATCCACTTAAGCGCATATTAGCAGATAACCCCCTTTCTAGTCCAGACTCCAGAGTTGGGTTGCCCCGTGAGAGAAAATTAGCAGAACCGCACGACGGTGACTCGGTGGCGCGGCATTTTTCCCACGCGGCGGTGGCTCAGGTTCTGCACCACGGTCAGGCGATTCCACGGCCACAACTGCCTCCCACGCGACGGTGGATCGGTTGCGCGGCTGCCCCTCGCGCATGTGCGACAGTGGCTCGACCCCTCGATGGCCATGGGTATGCCCTCGTGCGACTGGCGGCTGAGGTGCTGCCCCACGCACAGGCGACTCGGAGGCCGCGGCTTCCCCCCCTACGACGGTGGCTCAGCGCGGCGGCCTCCCAGGCTCCCAGCTGCCCCTCACGCAACAACGACTTGGTGGCCGCGAGGCTTTCCCGCGCGACAGTTTCTGGATGGCAGTGACGATGCCCTCACGCGACGACGTCGGCAACTCGCTGAATTCTGCACCCCTAAGCTTTGATTATGTAGCCGCGTGCTCCCTGATTGTGCAGCCCAATGCTTACTTCTGTAGCCTGAATTCAGAAGTAATAGTATAATGTTGCATCTTTTTGTTGGTGAAGCAGGTTTACTTATGCAATTTGGATTCAGAAGTTGTATCCGTTTAAAAACCACACTGTGAAAGGCATGCAATGCAGTCTGTAATCTATGATCTTTATCTCTAATATCTGGGTGTATGAATTCAGTTGAATAAATATGCTGAACTTCTGTCCAACATTATCTTTACTGAGCTCTTTTCCAGTCACTCAATATGAATTTTCTTGTATCCTTCAAAGCTTTGTTCTGCTGAACAAGGGCAAAGAACAATCTAGGCCGACATGTGTTGTTGAATATGAAATTCTGAGGTTGTCAATTAAGAAGCTATACACAGGCTGTCTACAAGCCTACAGTACAAGTGATTTCAGTCTGCAAAGGACCTAGTAGCAGCTAGGGCTGTTGTAACAGCTAGCTAGTGCTGTTGTACAAGTGATTCCAGTCACATTTGGCCTAAACACTAATGCTTAGTGACAACCAATTTGCGTACAAGAAACACTGTTATAGCAGTGTATCCTACTCGTCATTCTAGGCTAACTATGCAACAAATTCCTATGCTTGTATGTTTGTTGACTTGTTGTGGTGGTAGTAAATTATGGTTGCTAGAATTTTAGGTTGATGCTCCATCTGGATGCCTAAGAAAAACAATATGCGGAGGAATGTGTCAGGGGAAAGAATTGCCAGGTGCGATGGTGATGTGTGCTCTGAAGAATGAGTCCCGGTTGCCAAAGCGCGAGCCACATCCAGTGTATGGTGACCGGCAGCCGACGATCGGGCAGTGGCCCCACCACGATGGACAGAAGGAAAGTCATGGTCAGAGACGCGTCAAGCGGAGGGCCAATCCCCGCCTATCAAAGATCCATCCCGGCGGGCGAAGTGTCAGGGCATCTTCAGCCGTTGGCCCTTCAGGAAGGGCAAATAATCGCCCTCTGGGGCGCGCCGGCGCTAAACCGCGCACTGGGGATGTGATGCCCCTCCAGTCGCGGCGCCCATGGTTAGTCAAAGTCAAAAACGGCGCAAAAACGATTTAAATTTAATGCAAACATCGAAGAGTTCGTTCAAACTTAAACATATTTTACAAAAAAGAAAAAAACTTCCGCGGGCTACCCCGCCGTCTCCCTCGCCGCCCGCCCACGTGGTTTTACATGCCGAGGAGGCTGTAGAACCGCGTGTAATCACCGCCGTCGTCGTCGTCGTCGTCGCCGCCCCCGCCTGCGCCTCCGCCGTCCCTGCTGTATCCCTCCCCCGGTTGGCGCGGCGGGTTGGACGGTCCGAGGGCGGCGTCGTCGTCGTCGTCGCTGTCAAGGACCACGACGCCGTGCTTGTCCTCTGCGGGCGAAGTGTCAGTTGCGGCTGGTCGAGGGCAAGGGGTAACCGCCGATGGAAGGAGCATGGTGGCACTACGATCGAAGACAATCAGATCTCAACAACTCACGAAGAGTCAAGCGCTATTCACCCTGCTGATGAATACGAACTGGGGGTTATCTGCTAATTTGTGTTTAAGTGGATTGTTAGCAGTCCCACCTTTGATCTGTGTCTTTCACTACCAATCCAACAATCCACAAGACAAATTTCCATATTTTCACTGAAAACTCATTTTCACCGGACACTTTGCCCTAAAATATTTGAAATAAACTCAACAAAAACATCTAATAATATCCACAGCCAATCGCGGGCTTTATACTAGCTAGTATATTTGACACATGTAATGTATGTGTTAGGATTTAATTAATGTTGTAATTAAGGAGATAATCCTCTCTTTGTATAACTGCACGTGCATTGCCAATCTAGCGACAGTCACGACAGTTCCCTCACTCCCCATCGAGCGGACGCGCCTGTTCACTTGCGTCCCCTCCAGTTGTATATAAGGATTGGTCACCAATGAAATTGATAGTGATTTTGGATTCATTTGCAGTCTGTCTTGTAACAGTATGAATGAATTGGCGCTTCAAACTTGGATTCAGAAACAGATGCCATTCTGTGGTCTAATGCTTGGCTCTTTTTTTTTTTACATTTTTTCGAAAAGGAGGCTTTTTTTACATGAAATGAATTGATATTATTGTTCAATTTGATTAAACAAAGAGAGTACAACGAAGACCATTGATAAAGATAAAGATAAAGCTACATAAAATTCATGGGAAATAGTTGTCCGGAGCTCTGCTCTTGGGGTCTTCATGTTGTTCCAAGCCTCGGACAGAGAAAACATCAAACCCCACTATTTGGGGTGTCAAAAAACACTCACAGAAGAGAGAATCAATTCAACAGTTGTAGCCACCGGCGAGATCTTAGGTGTGACGTACATAACATTCCAAGTGCAAGTCGCAAAAAACAATGTCAGCCAAATGGTTACCCGGAGGATCCACAAGGTGTGTGAATGTCCCATTGAGCGGATCATGGACTTGTAGCGTCGGGCTTGCGCTGGCAGTATGTAAGCAATAGCAAATTAGCTTTCCACCATGACGCATCACCCTGAAAGGGGTCACACAAGATGGAGCCAATGACGAAGTTGCAGTGTTAAAAAAAATGAGACCAACCTAAGGGTTAATCTTCGTTGGCATTTTTCTTATAGAAGAAACTCTGCGAGCTCCGCATGTCTAAGCCGGGACTCGAACTCGGGTGGACTCGCAGCAACCTTAGCTGCCCAGTCAACGGGTCGACGCCCCGTCCTCACGATGTCGCAGTGTTAAGGGAGAAGAGCCGACCAGAGATGGGTTTGGGAGGTTTAAATCAGGTAAACATTTTTCCACAACAATATTACTATTAGCGACTATTTCAACTCTCTCTACTTTCTCCATCCTCAAATCCATCGGTATTGTTGCCTTCGGTTCGCCCTCTCTGTGGTGCAACAATGTCTAGTAGTTTTCGGTCGTTAGATCGATCATCATTTTGAGTTACCGCTCTCCGGGTCAAAGTGGGGGAGGGGATAGGGCATAGGAAAGATGGGTTTCATTTGAATTCTATTGACAAAGCTTATCCGGCTCACTCCTGTGTTTGTGGTTTATGAATCTGATTGCAATTTTTTTGACAGATCATGAATAGTAAGCAAAACTTTTTTAATAAAAAGGGATTCTGTTACAATTATTCTTGCATTATCGGAGCTTGGGAGGTAAAAAAAATACCGATGTACACATAAACACTGCCTCGTGCCTCAGGATCGAAAATGTTAGTTGTTAGAGCATCTACAGCTGGACTTGAACAAATCCGCCCCTCTGTACGCATGCGGACGCGTTCGCGGATACTGACGAATTGCATCTTAAGTTTTTTTCGTACAACGGGGCATCTCAGTTAGCAAACCTTAAATTCATACAAGACCATTGTTCAAGAAGACGCTACTAGGCACTCGCCTGTGCACGCTTAAGCTCTGGGCGCTGGCATAGCGCCTCGCTTTGGCCCTAGGCGCTTAGAAAAGCGCCCAGCGAGGTCCTCCAGCAAGAAATCGTGTTTCTCAGGCAGGGAATCAATCTCCCCGGCCAGGATTTGACCTCCACAGCGAAGTTCCATCCTCCCCGACGAGGATTCAACCAACCCAGCGACAAATCGACTGATTCCGGCGAGGGATCAAGCATCTCCGGTGAGAATTCGACTGATTCCAACGAGGAATCAAGCATCTCCAGTGAGAAATCGACTGATTCCAGCGAGGAATCAAGCATCTCCGGTGAGAAATCGAGCTTCACTGGCTGACTGGTTCCCATGTGTAGCAAGAGATAGAGGAAGTAGAGAGGCGGCGTGAGGAGGATCCTTAATTTTCTGTCGACTGTGCACGTATGGGAGGCTTTACTAGGAGAATGGAATAGATGGGCCAGCGGTTTAATGGGCCAGATCAGCCCATCTACTTTATTTCTTCATGCTACAGTGGAAACGACTAGGCGTGCCTAGGCGACGCATAAGCGGGCTGTGCACAGCTCAAGTAGGTCACAAAACGCACAAGTAACGCCCATCGCCTTTCTAAACTTTGTACAAAACATATGCAATGTACGTAAACAACACGCCAACACACATCAACCGGTTATTACATCATGACATATCATCGAACTATCAAACTTTGGCATGCTCTACCTACATATTCCCTCCATTCAAAATTACTTGTCGCAAAAATGGATGTATCTAGATGTATTTTAGTTCTAGATACATCCATATCTAAGACAAGTAATTCTGAACGGAGGGAGTATTAACTATGGAGAAGCTCATCCACGGTTGCCCTTGCCCTTCCCAGCGCCTTTGCCATCTTTATCCCGGAAGTACTGGTCGGAGACGCCCATGGATCTAGTCGGAGTTGAGCGATCCGTCGATGTCTTCCTTCTCAACTTTCGAGGGCAGTCCAGCCATGACACGGACCGCCCGGTTTTGCTCTCGGAGAGCTTCCTCCTATGCAGAGTGCGCGCCGCCGCATCCGCCGCCGCCATATCGACAGCAAGGCAAGCCTCGGGCTTATCCTCTTCTTCCAACGGCCCAGAAATGGGGAGGATACCGGACCACGAAGATCCTACCCCAGTGTCCTCTGCGCCGACACAATGAATTCGCGCCGAAAAGATCCCTCATCGGTCGGGCGCAGTCCTCCCAGGAACGCCAAAGGGCAATGCGGACGGTCATAGCCCATAGCATCCTCCAACCCTCACTGGACGACACAAGGCTAGACGGGAGCTTGGGTGGTAAAGTGGAGTGGTTAGGTTTTGGTCCGGTAAGAGAACCGGGACAAATATGTGAGGTTGAGGTGAGCCAGAGTGGACCGCCACCGATGTGCTCCCGAGCCACTTCATATTCGTACTAGATTTGGACTGAATACAAGGGATGCCGATCAGCCCCGAGCGTTTGAGGCAACCATCTAGATCACTTTTTTTGATTGGTGACTGACGGCGTTTAAGGAGGAGGGTTGAGGCAGCCGACTGTAGATGATCTTAGGAGGCCGCAGGACGGACATGACAGAAAATGGTGACCTCTTTTTCTGCAAACGAGCCTGCCTCCGTGCAACTTGTCCTGAGCATTATGCATCATACGACTTGAGATACTCAGAGTCAGAGCCATGCCAGGCAAATTTGCTGGAATAACGAGATATTCGCTTTCAAAGCACACTGACAAGAATTCGAGAATTTAACTGAGACAACCACCAAAAATTTACTTGCATGACTCCAATATAACCAGAAACACGTTATAGTACAGTTGGCCAAAATGGAACAGATCCCAACCCACAGAACAAGAGTAAAAAAACACAAACAGATCTTGAACAAGAAAAACGCCTCAGGGAGCCGCAAGCGTTCTTCTTATTCGCCGAGTGTCAAAATCAACCTCAAATAGATAAGACATGTTCCCACGCAGTTCCAAGTGTTCAGGTGCCTCTGAAGGGAATACAGACCGCCGCAAACCCTAATCTCTGCTTTGCCTCAAAGGTATTACACGGAAGAGGCTATTTCCCTCCCAGCCAATCACATGAAGTCGAACTCGTCGGGGTCATCAAAAGATGCACCCGGTCGGGCAACAAAGTCCTCCTCTCCTTTCTCTATATGGAGCTGCTTCTTCTTTGCTCCTGGATATTTATGGCAAACATCAGCACAGAAGGCATATGATAGTAACAGCATTCCCATCCTAGGGCTACATATAATGTTTGGGCAGAAACAGAAAGCCCCTAGATTAGGCCCAGAATCTCACCTCCTTTCTTTTTGCCTGCTGCAGCTTCTTTCTCAGCCTTGATCTTTTCATTAGCAATTGCCGTGACGGAGGAGGATATTTCTTTCGCATCCGCACCTTTCAACGATGTCATGGAAAGTCTCATGACATTCTTAAGTAGACCCATGTAGTGAAAGCTTTTCTGTATACATGAGCCAATGTGGTCAGTTCCTGAAGGAAAGGGAGTCTGAATATAAACCAAACAGAGAGCTCTGCAAACGTTGAACAGACCTCATACGGGCGAATTTTGTTTGCGATAAGCTCAGCATATTCCGCAAAGTCGCTCTCAGACTTCGGGATGAAAGTCTCTAGTGACTTTTCACTGCCGTCCTTCTTTGCAAAAAGCTCAGCTGTTGCCTTAAAGTCAGCTTCTTCCACTAGCCTGTAATAAGTAAAGCATCAGAGTGAACAAACTGAATGGTAGGCACATCATACAAGAAGGCCACAGCAGGAAAAGAAATAGCAATACCTTTGTTGGCGAAGCTTCTCTGAAATAGGATCATCAAGAACATCATCGTCCACTACCTCAGTACTCGTTGAGGGCTGTTTACCTTTTTTCACAGCAGCTTTAGCACTAGGTTTTGGAGCAGGCTTTTCTACAGGTTGTGGCTTAGGTTTCTGCATTGTATGTATTACAGAACCAGTGTTGAATCAATGACAATTCAATATTAGTAGCACATATCCAAATAAAAGCTTACTACTTACAGCATAGCATAAACATGAAGTTTTGGTAATTAATTTGCACATCAGAACCAGTCATACACAAAAGAGCATATATGGTCACTGTTAAACAATTCACCGAACATATACTTGTGGCAAAATGAATAGACCACGCGAACAGACAGAACATAGTGATCAGTTAGATTTGTTAGGGATTCATCTACACATTAAAGTGATATATGTTGAAATTCATGGCTACAATGAACACCAAGGATTACTTGGCGAATTTCCAGCAACAGTACAAAATCATTGGGGGTGGAATTAATGTTTGGCAAGTGGCCACATGCCACACATGTCCCTGATAACCCTCAGATTGGATATTACTTTCTACTTTCACATATTTGCAGTGTTAATAATGGCCAGAAATAAATGAGAAAAACTGAAAATAACCAGGTGATTCCCTTTTTAAACTTTCTGTAAAATGAAGAGCTACAAAAATGTGGGCCAGGGGGGAAGGGGGTTATGTGCACTAAAAAGTGTGCAAATATTTCCAGTACCTCTTCCTCCTCTTCCCAAGATTCTTTGACATCATCTTCATCCACATCTTCATCTTCCCAGTTACTTTTAAGAGGTTGAGCTTTCACAACAGGTGCGATTGGTTGAAAATCATCATTCTCTGTAAATACCAAAAAAAAAGTGTCAGAACAAACAAGCACCTGCACCATATAGATTCAATAAAAAGAAAGTGACGATTTCAAGGCTTCCTACAACCTGTTCTGATAATGCACTAAAGGTGTCTTTAATAAAATGTGGCAAGCACCATCAGATATCACTCAACCTCTCAAAATAAATAAATTGTACAAACAGGAATTCGGCCGAATTCCTAGGTCACAAACCCGCAACATCGCATTAACCATCAAAATACTGTGTACGCAATGATTTGTCAAACAAGTCCAAAATACACGGAACCCATTTTGTAGCACACCTAAGAACAGTACAGGCCATCGCAATAATGTAACCTGCCAAGGGCGGCTCTAAGCAAGCATAGTTGCACATGCAAATTTTACAGTCTAGTTTCTACTATGAAAAGTAAAAACCCGCCCTAAATGTTCTACGGGTCTTCTAAATTACCCAACAGATAAAAGCAGCACAAAATACTTGACGAAAGCACGAAATCGTTACACTGTTACTACTGAAACAGAAACACGCCGAGGGCTAACTGATTACGGTTGGTGCCAGGGCTCAGAAAACAATACGCAGCCTGCGCCTGGAACTGATCCACGGGGCTGACAAACAAATGAACCGTACAAATACCAAAAACCCAAATTCCTGATGATTGCGCCCAGAATCCTAAACGCGCTGGGATCTCAGCAGCGAACGTGAACCGATTTCACGCGCAATCGCAGCGCCCGAAATTTGCGATTATGAACGCACGCAGGCGGCCCATGAGGCCCGCCAATCGCCCGACGGACTGGTCGCGCCGGCGAAACAGCCGACGCCTAAGATTCGGCGACTCAAGTGAGGCTCGTCCGTCGCAAAAACGAACTGCCCGCATCGGGAACGAATCGAGCATCGGCTCCCACGCAGATCGGGAGGCGCGGGAGAGAGGGGGGGAGGGAGGCGCTCACCCCAGTCCTCCATCGCGGGCGGAAGTCGTCGAGATCTGAAGCGGGTGGCGGCGGCGACGGAGCGGCGAACGGACGGGGCGGACGGGGGAGGGGTCTAGGGTTTCCGCGGCGAGGCGGCGGCGGCGGGTGGTGGCGGGGAGGGGAGGGGGCAGGAGGGAGGGTTCTGGAGGGGAAAGGATTGACGGGTCGGGCTCTGCCTAGCTGGCTCTGCGCGCTTGCCTCTTTGGGTCGCCTTCTCGGCCTGCCTGGCTCGTCTCGTGGCTCGTGCTGCCTGCGCGTTGGGGGAGTGGCGGCTTTCGCACCGGCCGATGCATAGCGTATTTTTTTTGAAATAAACGAAATTTTATTCATTAGCAATAACCAATACATCGTTTGTGAAAAGTGTTACAATTTCACTAATAGGCTCCTCAAACCAAACCAAAGTAAAAAAACTAGCTAATCTAACAAGTTCATGTGCTACTTTATTTGCCTCTCTATTACAATGTTCGAATTTAGTCATGATAAAATCACAAGCATAGTGATAGCAGTCATCGAAAATTGCCGCAGCCGCTCCCGCTGACTGTCCTCCGTCTTGCATTGTCTCAATCACCTCCCGATTGTCAGAGTTGATGATTAGGCGATTACATCCCGCCCTTTGCGCTAAATTTAGGCCAAATTTGAGAGCTAAGGGCTCCGCCATGAGAACGTCCGCACAGTATTCTATCTTTCCATTCCCTCCTGCAATAAGCCTACCTTTGTCGTCTCTCAATACTGTCCCCATCGTGCCCTCCAGCAAGTCATGGTCAAAAGAGGCGTCAACATTGAGTTTCACAAAGCCCCTAGGAGGACATTGCCAACCCCTTTTTTTATGGACGCATTTGAAGATGAAGCATTTACAAAATTATATGTAAGAGCTATGATCCCCATTGAGATCTGGGTCGCATTTTGAGTGAATTCCTTATGCACTAATTTCTTTCTTTCCCACCATAGATACCAAGTAGAGATAGCTACCATTTCTCGAACATTTTCGTATCCCATAATGCGCAGATCTTGATCTGGAAGGAGTAATAAGTATTTCAGTATTGCCTCCCCAGCACGATCAATCTCACAAGCTCTCTCAATAATCATATCCAATCCTAGCCTTTTTCAAACCTCTTTCGCTTTTCTACATAGGAAAAAGCAAGTGCTTTGTATCTTCTACACCCTGGGAGCATGTAGGACACAAGGGTGAGATCTTCATGTGTCTATTAGTGAGTGTTGCCCGACATGGAAGAGTACCATGTAGTGTTCGCCATAAAAATATTTTGACTTTAGTCGGACAAGACAACTTCCATATCTGACACCATATAGGGTTACGTGTGCTCCGTCCCATCCCGTTGAAATATTTTAGTTTGCTCCCATACTGATAGTTCCACTCCACAGAGTAAGCAGACCGTACCGAAAACAGACCATTTTTCGTATAACTCCAGGCAATAAAATCTGTCATATTATGTTGCGAAATTGGGATTGAAAGAATCCGTTGTGCGTCAATGGTCCACATAGTTTGTCTAATCAGGTCCTCATCCCAATCATTGGAGACCGGGTCAATCAAATCTACAACTTTTGAGAATAAATGCCCCCTCCTAGGAGTCACAATCTTCCTAGTGGCACAATTTGGATCTAGGCATCTTCCCAAATATTGATACTATGTCCATCCCTCACTCGCCAAATATAACCTCGCTTGAGAGTAGTGATGCCTGCCATAATGCTTTGCCAGGTGAAGGAAGCACCATGCTTTGGCTTGGAGTTCAGCAAATCACCATTAGGATAGTACTTTGCCCTTAGAATAGTAGCACACAAGGAGTCAGGATTATCAAGGAGACGTCGTGCCTGTTTTGCAAGTAGAGCCAGGTTGAAACAGTGGATATCACGGAATCCCATTCCTCCTTGGTTTTTTGTGTTGGGGAACGTAGTAATTTCAAAAAAAATCCTACGCACACGCAAGATCATGGTGATGCATAGCAACGAGAGGGGAGAGTATTGTCTACGTACCCTCGTAGACCGGCAATGGAAGTGTTGACACAACGTAGAGGAAGTAGTCGTACGTCTTCCCGATCCAACCGATCCAAGCACCGAACGTACAGCACCTCCGAGTTCTAGCACACGTTCAGCTCGATGACGATCCCCAGACTCTGATCCAGCAAAGTGTCGGGGAAGAGTTCCGTCAGCATGACGGCGTGGTGACGATCTTAATGTTCAACTGTCGTAGGGCTTCGCCTAAGCACCACTACAATATTATCGAGGATTATGGTGGAAGGGGGCACTGCACACGGCTAAGAAAACGATCATGTGGATCAACTTGTGTGTCTAGGGGTGCCCCCTGCCCCCGTATATAAAGGAGCAAGGGGAGGAGGCCGGCCGGCCCTATAGGCGCGCCAAGGAGGAGTCCTCCTCCTAGTAGGAGTCGTGGGGAGGGAGAAGGAAAGGGGGGCGCCGCCCCCCTCTCCTAGTCCAATTCGGACCAAGCGGGAGGAGGCGTGCGGCCCACCTTGGCTGCCCCTCTCTCTT